AGCGGACTGCACAGGGAACTTTTTTGTCTGCGTCTCCAGGTTTTGTGCAGCAATCTTCTGCTATTAAGAAACCTGGACAGCAACAGTCAAAGTTAACTTCCGGAGGTTCAACTAGTCTTCCTGCATCAAGCAAGAAATTGACCCGAAATGAATCCATATCCAATAGAACTGCCTCCCAGCGGTCGCAGACTCCAAAAGGACGAACAATTCAAGTTGAGCCGACCTCCAAGGCACAGTCTGAGTCCTCTGATGCCATTAGGTCCAAAATGAGAGAATCACTTGCTTCAGCTCTGGCTATGGCGTGCCAGAATCCAGCTGCCAAGGATCTGAGTGAAGCAGTGGGTTCTCAGCCTTCACAACTGGATGTCACTCCGACAACTGCCAATGAAGGTCTACCTCAAACCTCTGTCTCACATGTACCTCAAAACTGTGGCGATGTACTTCCTTCAACTGGCCCTTTTCCTGTTGATAGAAATAATGATGGTCATAGTTTATCTCTTGGGCTTCATGATGACGTGAGCATGGGTAATTCCATCTCTACTGAACTTGAGTTGCATGTGGACGATGTTCCCTTCAGTGACAATTTCTTTGTCAAAGATGAACTCTTGCAAGGGAATGGTCTCACTTGGGCGATGGATCTAGATATGCAGTTAAGAGAAACTGATTTCCTCCAGGATGCTGAAAAGGCCAATTTGTTTGATGAGGATGTGGTTGAAGATAAAGGTGAGCATACAAAATCATCTCCCGAAGATTTAGCTTTGCACATTGAGGCGGAACTTTTTAAATTGTTTGGAGGTGTGAACAAAAAATATAAAGAGAGGGGCAGGTCTCTTCTCTTCAACCTAAAAGATCGCAGTAATCCTGAACTGAGAGAGAGAGTGATGTCAGGTGAGATACCTCCGGATAAGTTATGTTCAATGACTGCTGAAGAACTTGCTTCAAAGGAGCTATCTGAGTGGCGGGTGGCGAAAGCCGAGGAACTTGCTCAAATGGTTGTTTTACCTGATAATGCAATTGACATGAGACGTTTGGTTAAGAAAACTCACAAGGGTGAATATCAGGTTGATTTTGAGCGTGATGATAATAATATTGCATCTGAGATATCTGCAGGTTCAAATGTCACACAGTTTATGCCGAAGAAAGATAGGGGGAGAACTTCTGGCCCTTCTGGTAAGGATGAGTTAGGAAGTAAAGAAAATCTTACCAGCCAACGTAATAACTCAGAAAAGCAAGATGTGAAAGATAGCTTGGTAATTCCAGCTGATGGGGCTGATTTGATGCAGGGGATGGTTGTAGAAGAATTCAAGGATGCTGAATTTCTTCCTCCTATTGTTTCCTTAGTTGAATTCATGGAATCACTTGATTCTGAACCTCCTTTCGAAAACCTGCCTGTTGAAAACAATCATTCTGCACCTCTTCCAGACAAAGAAAGTTCCGAGGACCCTAACAATGCTGTGGGTTCTGGTCTAGCCGCAAAATACCCTGTTGTTGCTTCTGAAGACAAATCTCTTGAAGGGGTCAAGAATCATGTAGAGCAAGCGGAGTCTCTGGTATCTGCAGGAAGCCCTGTAGTAAAGAAAGTAACTAGTTCTGGTGATTTGAGCCCTATCAAGATGACAGGACCACATGGTAGTGTTTCTAGAGTTCCATGTATCTGGGAGGGGGAACTGCAGCTTACTATTTCATCCTTGGTTACAGTCTTTGGTTCGTTTAGAAGGTATGCCTGTTCCCTAAAATCGCTTACCAGATCTTTTCTTTGAGTAATTACTATATATTAATGTTGCTCTTGTATATTTTAGTGCACTGTAGTTGCACTTGAGTCTCTACAGGTCGTTTCTTTCATTCTATTTTTCTCTGAGTTTTAGTACCATGATATTTTTCTCTCTTCTTGATAATTGATAGCTCTTGAAAATTCTCTCTGCTAGACGAATGGATTGGGACTGCAATTGCATGTTGTATGCTTTGGATTAGTTTTCCTTTATTTTCTGTGTGTAGTGCTTTGCTTTAAATTTCCTGAGTGGATTCTCTATTTCTGGAGTCAATTTCCTTTAATGTTCTGTGTGTATTCCCTTCTAGAACATTTAAATTGCACTTGTTGGTTATAACTTTACAAGTGGTGCTAACAAGACTGGCATTTCTTCTTCTATTGTCTTCTGTTTCAGTGGTGAAAAGACACCAACTAACGAGTGGCCAATCTCTCTTGAGATCAAGGGTAGAGTTCGACTTGATGCATTTGAGAAATTTCTTCAAGAGCTTCCTATGTCACGAAGTCGTGCAGTCATGGTATCTTATGGTTCTCCTTCCTTTGTTGTAGTTGGTCTTTTCTGCCATACTTCAGGTTGCAGATTATTGCAGATAGTGTGTAGGTTTTTATTATTTTTTGATGACTTCCATTGTCGAACCAAGAATGTATATTCCAGCTATTGGGAATATAGTGATATGCAATATATGGTTGCTGAATGGCTTGGGACCATATGTCCTTTCTACTCTTTTAACTTTTTACTGGATGATTTGCCTTTTGGGTCGAGCTGTGGATGGAAATGTCATGAGTTGAATAATTACCTGTGTCATGGAAGGCTCTACAGATTTTCTCTAACTCCCTCAAATTTAGGCTTTTTCAATGCCCAGAGATATCAAACTTTCTATTGTTTTAAGATAAAATCAATGTATCACTCAACTTTACGCAGTATTTAGCTATTTGTAATAAGTATTTAGTCTGCGCAAAGATACAACTTTTCGACTCGTTTGGCTTAGCCATCAATCTTAAACCAAAGTGGATGAATATCTTTTGATGTAAATGATGCAATGATTCTACTTGTGAATGGTCAAGTTCACATAAATTGGAAAAAATCTTAGATTATGCTTTACATAAATTGCAAAAAATCTTCAAAACGTTGTGCTAATCATATTTACATATGCAGGTTGTTCAATTTGTTTTGAAGGACAAGTCATCTGAGAGGGAACGGGCAGACCTATCTGAGGTACCAATCTGAGTTTAATTTCCTATCTTAGCAATTCTTGTTCAGTAAAATTAAGTAAGTCTATGATTTGCTTACTGGGTCTTTCGATAATCTTTAATAGGCAGTGCATTCATACGCTTCAGATGAGAGGTTGGGGTTCGCGGAACCTGCTCCAGGAGTGGAACTATATCTGTGTCCACCACACATACTCGATATGATAAGCAAACACCTTTCCAAAGACCCTAAAGAGCTATATGATTCTACAGAAAATGGTCTAATTGGCGTAGTTGTATGGAGAAAACTTCATATAAGTTCAACAATATCACCTAACACGTCTTCACACCATAAACACAGTTTGAAAAAACAACAGGCGATTCCTAGAGGACAGCATGAAAAAGCTGGAAACGTTAATGTAAATTCAATGCCTAAAGCACCCATGTCCATGTCTGCGAAAAATGATCCTGCAATGGATGATGACGATGATATCCCACCTGGGTTTGGTCCCAAAGCTGGTCGTGACGATGATGATTTGCCTGAGTTTAATTTTTCTGGCAACATAAATGCTTCTAGGCCTAGGCATCCATCTCAAAACATGTACCATGGGTCAAGAATGAACCCATATAACCAAACACCCCCTTCCCGCCCTGTAGACCAAATGAGAGAACTTATACTAAAGTATGGCCAAACTGGTGCTACAAATGTTGGTCCTGGAACTTCATCGTGGAATGACGATGATGATGACATCCCTGAGTGGCGGCCACAAGCCCCTCCACCCCTTCAGCGTCCTCCATACCCTTTAGGCCACAGTTTTCCGCAGCCCCCGCAGCACTTGGCTCATCAGAGACCATTGGCAACACCTATGGGTTTGCCTATGCAACCACCAATTAATAATGGTATACCAAACAGGCCACAAATTATGTCACCAAGGGGGCAATATCAAGTTGATTGGAGAAGGGATCAATCAAGGGGTAGGGGGTTTTGAAGTTTTTCATTTTGATAGTTCAGTGTTAGCCATGATGTACATTCTGAATCTTTGTTGTGTTTGGCTTTTTTAGACTTTCTAGACTAGGTATCTTAGCCTTTATTTTAGATGCTTAAAACTATAGTTTATACTGTACTTCTTCCGCATAAAGGCAAGAGACTATGTGATCTCTTCTAGTTGTTTTACTGTCATTTTATCTCATTAAAAACATTATTCTGTTTCTCAAATGTGTTATTTTCGTGGCTTATTATGTTAGCTGGGAAACCCCTTGGACCGTTGGAACCGAAGGCTTTTCTTATTAATGACTTATATAGCTTGTTTGACAAAACTTATTTTTCAAAGTGAGATGTTTGACCAGGTCTTTTTTTTTAGAGAAAATATGTGTTTTTGAGGAGTCGCATAAACTATTTTTTAGAAGCTAAAGAAAGTAACTTTTTTTTTTTTACAAACGCTTTTTTGAAAACCACTTTTGAGAAAAGTATACTCAAAAGGGAGATGTTTGGTCAAACACTAATTGTGGCTTAAAAGTGTCTTTTTTTTAATATTTGTTGTTTAAACTTAAATTGCTTCTTTTGATTATTATTTTTTTCAAAATAAGTTGATTTTTAGAAGTTTGGTCTAATAGTTATAAAACTACAAATTCATAATCGTGGTTAAAGATATTGAAAAGTTTGTTTTCCTTTTTTCTTCTTTTTGATGTCATTCTCTAGTGTGAATGATCTCATCATCAACAACTCCCACAAGTATCATCAACAACCTTAAAGATATTGTTTTTGATGGACTCTCGCCCATTTAACGCATATAAAAAACAATATGAAAATGAAATACAACACTAAATACGTCACGATAAAAATAGTGTGAATGATCTCGTAATAGACTAGCAACTTTGAAGCAGATGCCATAACGTATATAATTCTTCTATATTTCTCAATATCCTGACATTCTATATCAAGTCAATCAGCACTAAAGGAGAAATACCAATTTACAAACTTATAATTGACACAACTCCTTTGCTTTCTCCTAGAACCAATCTTAGAAAAACTTTTTTTTTCCCTTTTACATATGAATGAATGAACAATAATACTCTATACTTCTAATGTGATTCTTCTGCTTTACACCAGCTCCTCGATAAGTATCGATTGAATTTACCACGTTCTCAGCCCCCCAAAGCGCGTTTGAGGGCTGTTCGTTGATCAGTTGTCAATCTTGTGGGGAATTTAACATCAAACTTGATCTTTAAAACACCTCTATTGCCAGGTTCCTTTGTGATTGGCATGCCTTCTTTTGTAAGCACAAGTTCATAACCAGGTTTTACAATTTCATTCACTGGAATCGTCAATGCACGACCATCTAACGTTGTTAGTTTGACAGTTGTTCCTCCCAATGCCTCTGCTAATGTTACTTTATAGTCCCTCATAAGGTCATTACCATCTCTCTTGTAAACGTCATGAGACTTCTCGTCTATTACAAATACGAGGTCTGCTGGAAGCTGGTTCAACTGCTCGTTTCCTTTGTCTGGAAATGTTATCTTTGTACCTTTTTTCCAGCCAGGTTTTACATCAATAGTTAAAATTTCTGATTCCGTCACTAACCTCCTGCAATAACAACTCTCGTATTATGTCTCAGCAGAGAGAGAGAGAGAGATAGACCACTTGTTGCAATAAAAGGAAAGTGCTTACCCATTCGTATCGACTACAGTTCTAGATATCTTCATTTTCCTAGTCGATCCAGAATAAAGCTCCTCAAGGCTGCAAGGCAATTTACTCTCAACTGGTGGCGGTTTCTTGGGCATATTAGCACCAGTTCCATCACTAGCTGGCCTGAAAATATTCTCACTCCCACCAAATCCTGCGAAACCACTTCCTTCTGATGAGAATCTCGTGGACTTAACTCCAGCTGATCCAAATCCGAAGGGACTGCTCCCAAAAAATTCTGCAAAAATGTCCTCAGCGTTTCGAGGATTATTGCTACAACCAGGTGATGGCATCTCTTTTAGTCCTTCTTCACCATACTGATCAAAGACTTGTCTTTTATCAGGATCACTTAAAATCTGAAGAAATGAGTAAAACTTGATAGTAAGAATGGCACTAATATCTTATTCATTCTTCTATACATGATAATGATTCACAATTGGTTAAATGAGTCGATTGCAATGGATGAGAAAGGTCAGAGAGACAATACACTAAGACATAAACACAATCTATTCTATTTTGTCTTGATAGGTGTAAGGAAAACAATCAATTCTACGATCACTAAAGTTATGAGAAAGCAAGGGAATCGGACCAGTTTGTTAAAAACCAAGGTCAGATCATACGATAACAAAGAAAAGAGCTTTCAATTATACAACATTCTTAAAGGATAGTAAAAAGAAGTTTCGATCCTTCTTGCAGCTTCAGTATCATAGTTTTCATAAAGTAACACATTTTTTTTCTCAAAATTAGCACAAAATGTTGATGAAGATCAAACCTTCAAAATATATTTCTAAAAGAAAAGGAGTTACATGTTACACCTAAGAAACAACAGAATCAATCAAAAACCACCCTTGTGGTCTTCAAGTTGCACCAAGAATCTATCGAAAATCTTCAAATACTTTACAATAACTCAATTTTTTCTGCATTATGATTATACTTAAACCTTCAAAAGGTTTCTAAAAGAAAAGTCGTTAGGCATTACACCTAAGTAAAAACAGAATCAATCAAGAACCACACCCTTGTGCCCTTCAACTTGCATCAAGAATCTAACCACCAAAGTCTTCAAACACAAAACAATAACTCAAGTTTATCTGCATTATTATGATTATATCTAAACGCGTGATTATGAACATTTCTATATATATGCACATTAAACAAAAGAAAAGGTAAGTGTCACAAACTTCATAAGCCTCTGATATTTCCTTGAATTGAGCCTCAGCTTCCTTCTTGTTGTTTGGATTCTTATCAGGATGCCATTTCATTGCCAATTTTCTATAAGCCTTCTTTAGATCATCCTCCGTCGCTGTCTTCCCAACGTTCAACACGTTATAATAATCCACCCCCATCTTCCTTATACCTAAACCCAATTTCTTCTGATTATTGTGAATATGTAGTTCCAGTTATCAAAAATTCAAACAGCTCCTTATCTTTCCCAGCAGTTCAGCAAAAAGGGGTCTTTTAGAAACTGCATTTCCAAGAAAATTACCCAAATCAAAGCATGAAAAACAAGAAAATCCCTAATTTCTAATTTTGCACAAAGAAAAACCAATTCAATATTATCAATATTTCCCAACAAGATCAAGAAAAAACAACATATCCACTGAAATCCCACCAGTGGGGTCTGGGGAGGGTAGAATGTACACGGATCTTACCACTACCTCGTGGAGGTAGAGAGGCTATTTCCGAAAGACCACATACCCACATCAAGATTGGCCATAAAAATGAAAATTTCAATTCTTAATTATGTAAAAGATTCAATCTTTTTTGAGAATGGACTAAAAGGGTCTTTTAAATCAAGTTTCAGCACATACCCACATCAAGATTGGCCATAAAAAAATGACAATTCCAATTCTTGATTATGTAAAAGATTCAATCTTTTTTGAGAATGGACTAAAAGGGTCTTTTAAATCAAATTTCAGCACATACCCACATCAAGATTGGCCATAAAAAAATGAAAATTCCAATTCTTGATTATGTAAAAGATTCAATCTCTTTTTCAAAGTGGAGTAAAAGGGGTCTTTAAAATCAAGTTTTAGCACATACCCAAATCAAGATTAGGCATAAAAAATGAAAATTCCAATTCTTGATTATGCAAAAGATTCAATCTTTTTTCAAAGTAGAGTAAATGGGGGGCTTTGAAATCAAGTTTCAACTCATACATATATAAATATTCATAATGAAAATGAAAAATCCTATTTTTTGTTATTAGAAATTTTCAGTTCAAGATTTTCAAATTCGTATCATCCAGTACATACCTTTAACAATATTTCCAAAGAAAATTAGAAGCAAAATTTGAAAAGTTTGTGAAATATATAGAAAGAAATAGAATTTTTTATCATCTTTGATTTTTCATTTTTTATTTCTTTGTTGGAAGTGTTTAACCACAAATGTTGTTTCAGCTTTACTATTTTTCTGACATTTTTAACGATAATAACGGAATCTAATTTTGTTTATAGCTATACGAGAAAAATGTTATTCCAAAATTCTTGGTGTTCTCCTTTCTAACCATACTTCTCTTCTATGGTTGAGATGTCAATTTTATATTCCACCAATTTTACCGGGTTGATTTTTCATATGATTACTTAATAAATATTTATAACTTTATTATTAATAAATATTTTAAGTTTTAGCCTCTGTTTGGTAGCTCTTTCTCAATTTCATTCTAGTTTAAGATGGCAAATTATGTATTACCTAACTTTTGATTTGTAATTGTAGACACACAAATTTTATTGGATTTAATTCATACAAAATTTGGATTAAATCCATGTTTATTTGGGTTGAATGATTAATTTGAGTTTTACAAATAATTAAGTCCATTTTTATTAAATTCAAATTCAAGGTCCATTTCACCTTGAAGCCCAAACACATGCCACGTGTCACAGTGACTAGGCATCCAAGACCAACAAGGTGACGCCACATGTCCAAATGAGGTGGTAGTCCCAGTCAAATGCAAGAACGAATCACAATGCGCCAAGTGTCAAAATGACATCCTTTGGCCAATCACAAGCAACCTTGTTCACTCCTTACAACTATAAATAGGGGATAGACATGACATTCAAAGGGAGGAAGAAAACTATTCAACAAGCATTCTGCAATTGGAGAAAGCCACAACACCAACTACATAGCTCTTCGAAGGAGTGGTCAACGGAGTTCTTCCCAAAGATCGACTTGCAACGACGAAGTGCTTCCCGACGTTTCCGGAGATCAAATACATCTCAAGGAGGTTTACATCATCCTACATTCGAGAAATACGCTACTGAACGCCCTCGAGTCACGGAGAATCTTAGGAGAGAGAATCAAGAGAACAACAGAATTGTACTCACAACGATTCATCAATAAAAATAACATTTTTCTTTTATTTATTTTGCTTGCAGTTAATTTTCAGCGCTTACGAAAATTTGTTGCGAACAGTAATGCTATGCCTATACTTGGTGATTAATAAAAGTTGATGATTACCAATAAAAAAAAAAATTGTGGTTGTGTTTAGTAGGAAAAAAAATATGTTTTAGGAAAATAAGTAATTTTTATTAATTTTCTTGTGTTTTGTATATAAGCAAAAAATATTATTCTAAAAATAGTTGTATATAAGTAAGAAAAATGTTTTCTGAGTTGGGGTGGTGAGGATGGGGACCACAAAAAGTGAGAGTGATGATGAAGTGTTAGAGGATATGGAGGTCACAATCCACCTTGAATGTCACTTATGAAATTTGTTATGCCTATATTTATTTGGGAATTCTTTTTTCTGATTTGAAGAAAAAAAAAATTCTAGAAAAAATGATTTTAATTTTATTTTACTAGCCAAACATAAAAAAAATCAAATTATTTGATGTTGACATGATTGTTATATATTAAAGAATTAAATTATCATATTTTATTATTTATTGATTAAAGAATTAAATTATCATAGTTTATTATTTATTGAGATAATTTATTCAATCTTGATCTCAATCATTTGATTGTCCAACACAACTGAACTCTATCTATGAATCTTATTGAACTTGAAAATTGATTATTAGAGTTTTTTTTTACCATTCAATATCCGAAGTCTATATCGAAGCCCTGAAAATCTATAGAATTGAAATGAGATTTATTAGAGCAAGTTCATGAATCTAGGCATTAAGGAAATAAACATATACCTATTCCATTTGCCTAACCTAATGCGTTCATCTTAGAGCTAATCCCATTAAAAAAAATAAAAAATAGGGCAGGGATTACAGTAATTTGAGTAGGGGAGTAGAATTGAAAATTTCTTGATTATTCTCCCCCTTTTAATTTATGTAACATAATTTTTTTAGTCTATTTCAAAAAGAATGTCTCATTTATATAATTAAAAATAATTTAACTTTAAAAATCTTCTTTTACCATTAATGAAATGAATTAAAGCCAATATAAATATCTAAGATTTACTCCCTCCGTCCCTATTTCTATGTCATCTCTTTCTATAAATAGTTGGTCCATAATACTTTTCATTTCATAAAATCAATGCATAAATTACCATATTGTTCCTCTTTATCCTTGTGAGTTATTAGCTTTGAAAATATACATTTGACAAAACTTAGAAAAGCTAAGTAATTATTCATGTTCATTGGTTAAATTAATTAATCAAAATAAATTAATTCATATTCATTGATTGAAAACTTGAGTTCCAAAAAAATTAAAGGCGAAATGGTCTGATGGACCCTTGTACTTGTATGAGTTTGTATTCTGGACCCTGCTACTTAATCGTCTACCAACTAAACCCCTAAACCTATTGAAACTTGATATTTTAAACCCTTTTTTTGACCTGTCATCCTATGTGGCATTTTTGTTCAAAGTGCGTGTAATACACATATTTCAAGAGCGTGAGGTCTTCAAAAAAAATTAAAAATATCAAGTTTTGACCTAATTAAGAGTATCTTCTTCCCCATTTATTCATTTACCATTGTTGGACAAAAAATAGCTTTTTTTGGGGGGGTTTTCTACTTATCTCCAAATTCTTTCTCCATTTTTAATTGTTTCAGGTTGCCTTTCATCTTCTTCAAAGGATCATTATTTCTTGAACAAATTCAGTCTTTATTATACTCTACAAAAGAATTTCCACAAGTAACAAATTTCTTTCATTGCTCCAAACAAACAAATAGACTTATCGATCCTATTCTTCAACAAGTATTTCGTTTCCTCCGAACTTAACATCGTCGGAGCTATCAACAACACCAATTTCTGCAAATCATCATAACACATAATCATAAAAAACTAAAAAGTTAGATTGATCCAAAATTACAAAGAGGGGAAGAAAAATAATAAGTAATATGGAGGATGAGTGAATAAGAGAATCTGAGGGTTGAGTAATTTGGACGAGTCGTGAGATTTTACCGGTGAAAACCTTTGGAATGAGAGAGGAAGAAGAAGAGAAATCTGGAAGATAATTGGAAAAGGAGAAAAAGATTTTTCAAGTAAAAATTTGGAGATTTAATTTAATTTTACTATTTATTTCGTACGTGGCAGTTAAAAATGAGGTGGAATTTGACATGTAGGAGGTGTATTACACGCACTATCCACCATGTGAGAAAATGGTTTAAAATACTAAATTTCAATGGGTTCAGGGGTTCAGTTGGTAAAGGATTAAGTAGAAGGGTCCATAATACAAACTCATACAAGTATAAGGGTTTATCAGACCATTCTGCCAAAATTAAAGGTAGAAGGGTAAAGTTACATCATTTCTTAATGCAAGTGCAAAGTAAAAATGTAGCATATAAAAAGGGATGGAGGGAGTATTTTAGATCATATATTATACATAAAATTTCTCTTAAACTCTTGTCAAATCAAATAATGTCTCCTAGAAATATTCACTTGTACTTACTAATGAAGGCCCAAATTACTCCTAATCTCAACATTAAGAGGACCAATAAGATTACCAATAATCCCTTAGCCATTACCATTTCCTAAGTTAATTACAATGAGATATAATTACTTCACACATTTTCCTTTGAATCGTTTAGACATACACCACTGAACTTCTGACATTTTGTGCCTCGTTGCGTTACCTAATAATATAAGTTGCCTTTGTAGATAATAAATTTCGAGTCGAGAAAACAATAATCAGGATAAGAAGATAAAACAATAATCGTATTTATTGATTTCTAGTATGAGTGTTACAATTTCTATGAATTCTCTTATTTGTTTTTGCGAATATAGATTCGAATGCTTTGATTGGTCTTTTCGAATATAGATTCAAGGACTCTTGAACTTGATTTGAAAATTAACTTATACATGAGTTCAAGAGCTTTTGAGTTTATTCTTGAACTTGAATGATTATATTCTTGAAGTTGTAACTTATAGAGAAATCTAAGACGTTTGATCCATGAGCTCTCTCTGGCTTCCTGTTAGAATTTCTAG